TCTAGTAACATATAAGTCATGATATTATTTAGAAAATTTTAGAAAATATGGGATTGAAACCTGTGTTCCAGCCATTTTAAGAGATTTTAAGGTTTGAAAACTCATAAAAGTTCTAAAGTGTCATAGTAAATCAAGGTATCAAAGTAGTTACATGTAATTATACTAAATTTTTGTTAGTCACCGGTATGTATAGAAACAAATTTCCTGTAATGAAATCAGTACTGTTGCATCATGAATTGTTGCATTTTTTTAGGAGAAAACGTAGAATCTCAGTAAAAAATATCACTTATTTACGCTTCTTTAAACAGAATGATTTCGGTTTACCATTTCGGAGTTCAAAATTTATTGCTGCGTAGTCGAGCGAATGTTTTCTGCAAACATCAGCTGATCATGACGTGATTCAGAGCTGTCTGTTATTTACGGTAGTTTTCGATATATCTTGTTTCTTATTTTACAAAATAATGAAACAAATTTAATATCTGGCAATTTTTTTAAAAAATGGATCAGTTTCAGATTTATACTGAACTTAAAATTTTAATAAATGAGGAATGATAGTAAACATGGTAAACTTAAGCTTGTGTTTAGATCAGGTATTTAAAAGAAGTTGTCCCACTGACGATATATGTAAAGAACAATTATAACTCTAAAAAGATTTATTTAATTTAAGAGTACAGACTAATCTGTGATCAATAGAATTTCTAAGAGATTTTTCTTCTCTCACTGATTTTGTGGAAGGAGACTGCCTGCATTTTGCATGACATAGACCCTATGGAAAATGTTGATGACATGAAGCATACCAAATACCATCTAGTTAATTGATAATTTATGTTGAAATTTAAGAAAAACCACTGACATCCTGATCATCCTGGCCTACAGAATTCTCTAAGAAGTAAAATGATGGAACAATGATTGGTTACAGAGCTGCACAGAAAAAATTCATCAAAATGGATTTTATGACTTGATTTTATTGAAATAATATGTTTGGAACGCCAATCTTTATCTGTTAGTTTTTCAACCATATACAGATTATTAACTTTTGTATATCATAACTCTAAGAAAACTGTGTCAATTACATATAATCTTTTTCTACTGATTTAGCATTTAAAGCATTGAATTGTTCATAACGTTCATTCGAATGAAGGTTGGCCTCCCACCTTTTTTTTCCTGCAGTATAATAAAATTCTTCAATGTTGACGTATTATTTTCTTTCTTGTTGAATAAAAACTGTCCCCCCCCCCCCCTTTCCAAAAAAGAAGGACTTTCGTATATGAACAATTCTCATCTTTTTTTCTCGTTAAAGAATTTTCACGCTATGGTAATCAATTATTTTCTCTCTCTCTCTCCCCCCCCCCCCTTACATACAATGATAGGATGCTAAATTCAGGGCTTGTCGTTTAAGCTGAATAAGGATTATCGGCTTTCTCTAATCACTGCTATAAATAATAAGAACTGTGCGATCAAAAGATGCACGCAGTAAATATTTGTTTCCAAAATGTGAACATACTAAATCTCTCAAAGAATCAAATTCTTTTGAATGTACAATTTACTTTTAGGTAATGTACTGTTAAGTAATATATTATCATAACCTGTTTGTAAGATATTACAAACTTAAATCATCATTAAATACATTGGATATAAGGTAAAGATTCAACAAATCAATAAATACAGACCATGTTTCGTATTTTTACATGAATTTATATGATAAACACTGGTAACTCTAACAACAGTAGTCAGTTAGAAACTAATGACGACTACTGAAGTTTTATGGGCTTCGTTTATTCAAAATTTTCGAGATACATGTACATGCTACATTTCCAGGGATTTAGCTAAATCCCTAGTTAGTATATAAGTACCAATTAATTTAAACATAAAATACGGTCAATAATTTATTAGCGGATACAGCTTTTGATATTTTCATATAAGATATTAAATCAAGAAAACGGCATAGCAGCTACATAGAAATTGAAAAATATTTTGTAAAACACGTTGTAATGGGTTAAACAAATAGTAATAAATAGGTTCCTTCTTTTCCTGTAAAATACAAAAAGAAAAAAGAATTATTTGAATTAAAGTGTGTGATCAACAATCATACATGATACCTGGCTGCAAAATTGATATACATGCATTTATTTACTTAGAAAATGTTCTGAGATATTCGTGGATTAAAATTCTTTCCAGATTTCTTATTTAAAATTGATTTATTATAAAAAAAAAATCTAGATATGTTCACTTTGTATATTTTGTAAAATATATTGTAATAGGTTAGACAAATAGTCCTTATTAGGCCCCTCCTTTTCTTGAAATAAAAAACAACAAGCAAAAATAAACGAACAAAGAAACAAAAAAGATGAATTGGTTCAAGTATGTTATCAAAAAGCATATAAGATATTTGGTTGCAAAATTGATATACATGCACATGTATTTATTTACTTAAAAAATAATATATTCCCAAAATAGACCATATCAAATCATTAACCTAGTTTTACCAATGAGATCACACGAAAAATCAATCATAATAAATATTTATTTCAACTAGACTGGATACATGATACATTGTTGGAAAGCATTTTTTTCGTGGTGTATTTTCTTAATTGTCAACTATTTACTCTCAATTGTTGCAATTTAAGAGATCGGGATCAATAAAATCCTTATAGATCGTTTTACAACTTCATTTCTATTGTATATTTATTTTTGACGAATACTTAAAGTCAATAAAATATTGTTTAACCTTACTATTCAATAAAATTTCAAAATAACACAAGAGGATTTTTTTAGCATTACTTAATGTTAGGGTTGTGCACTTTACTGTCATAGCAACTTTATAAAAAATTAATTGAGACAAGGCATACGCAGACCGTGATGATTGCGCGTAGACTAAATATAATAACCAACTTTAAAGCCTTTTTTCAGCCTAAGTATCCTAGTTGAATGTTTTTGTTATCTTCCATGTTGAAATTCCTTTTTATGCAATTAGGATTTCCCTCGCAATATAGTGAGATCATTTGCATTCAGATTAACACGTACGCCCGTAAGTTTTGCAAATATTAACAGGGGAAAAAAATTCTAGTTTTCCTGTCACTTCAGATGGTATGTAACAACAAGGGTCACATCAAGTGTACTTTAAAAAATATTGAAAATAAGCTGACCCCGATACAACAGGACAAACGAATAATCATATAGTTTTCTTCTGAACTAGCTCATAACCAAATGCTAATAAATGAAATGCATCAAACGGTTGGTATTGTTAAAAGATCTTTACATGTAGTTATTTAAGTTGTTCTTATGCCAATTTCAGTCAGGATATTGGAATATATTTTTGTTAAGTAAAATCGAAATTATAAGGTATGTATTGTCAGGCTCTTTTAATAAAAATCTACGATGGTTGTGGACATCCTGGTTGTAATTTTCATTTGGGATAAGATCTGAAGTAAATCTGAAGTAAATTTTAGCTTCATTTTCAAAATTCACAAGAGAAGCAGTTAAGAGCGTAATATTTCTCCTTGCTATGTTAATATGGGATATTCAATGTTTTGTAGTTGGATATGGAATTTATTTCACGAGTGGGACAGGATTTTTGGATATTTTCAGGAGTGTGAAGCACGAGTAAAAATATTTTTAAAAAATCCTGTCTCACAAGTGAAATAAATTTTATATCAAACAAAAAAAAAAAAAAAAAAAAAAAAAAAAAAAAACATTGAATTTTCTGTTTATAACATTTTCTTCGATATTCCCTTTGCCTCTGCCTTTTCTTAACACAGTGTCATAAGCTATGATATCATTGTTGAGCAGTTGAGACGTCATAGCTTAGCAATTGTGAGATTGTAACATGATTTTAGCAACATAATTTGGGAAGAAATTGGCAGTTTTAGTCTCTATCAAGATGTTTTAGTTACTATCTCAATCTTATTACAGGCCAGAAATTATAATTTATTTACTTTGATACCCTTTCACACTGTGACAGAATATCACTTTGGTATCCTTTTACACTGTGAGAGAATATCACTTTTATTCAATGAATAATTCACAGTATTTCACTGCTGAAAATGTAATAAATATATTCATTTAATTTTACTATCCACAAATAATTTAAACAAACTTGTTTAGGACATCGAAGATGTTGTATCTTCAAGTAGAAGTTTAAAATTCGAGAAATTAGAATTAATTGGCAAATGCCAGATTAGCAGAAAAAGAGAAGTCTGTAATTCCTTAAAATGAATTATCTTATTTCAAAGCAAAGCTTGTGAAGTCAATCTGGTATAATAGAACACCGCATATTTATAAAATGTTCATATTTGCTCAGTTCGAATGTCTCATGTATTCCTTTGTAATCGGTGATTTGTGACAGTAAATTTTCCATGCATTTGTAAAACTCATATTTTAAGTAAAAGTTTAAATTGGCTTAAATCTGCAAGGTACTTGTATGCATGTTCAATTAAACATGTATTGAGTGAAGATTCACAGCTTTCAATCACACACTTTTACTAAGAGGATGCTGTTTAGTATAGTTTATACTAGTATAGTCTTTAATTTACTTACTTTCTAAGTATTTCTGTGTGTGTCAGTGAGGGCTAACGAGTTATTTTATTACGTCCTTTTTTCTGTGATGACTTGATATTGGTATATCCCAGCTAAAACATTTCCTTCCTGCTACTTTTATTGAATGCGATTATGTCAATATATTTTAGTCACTCTTCACAAAAACTTTCCAATTTTTTTAATCATTGCATTTCAAACTATGTAATAAAATATTTATTTTATCTTATAACGACTTTTCCTTAAACGATTCGATGCTTAACAGATGTCTACTATCACTCATGTCAATGAGGGAATGTTATCTAAGTAAAGTATAAGAACAATCACCAAAAAAGGTTTCATCTTAAATTAAGTACTTGTACAGGATGTGTTTTCCCCTTGAAACTTTTCCGCAAAGCTCTATTTTCAGTTGAAATGTATTTTGCCTCACTGATCCTCTCAACTGTGAATATTCTTCTTGCTCAACATGTTAACAGAAGGACTTGTATTTTTCTTGATTTTTCCCTACATTTACCCCTATGGTAAGTAGACAGTATGCAGTTTATGGAAACATCTGTTGTTCATTTGATATAGCATACAGATTTTATAGCAAAAACTTTACATATAGGTACGTTGTGATACTTGTATTTATTTAATGTCAGCAAAAATATTACAACTCTCTTTAGTCCACAAATTCAGCTTAACGTGTGTGAATGGAGCACAAGAAAGAAAGATCCATTTGTACGTCCTTCTGTACTCTAAATATCATAACAACGTATTATTTTATGTCAGAAGACCAATACATTCAGCAATATTTGCCACCAATCATGTTTTATATCTTCGTTGCCAATAATCGTACGAAGAAAAACATTGCTTTTTCTGATTTTTTAAATGACAACTTTAATAAGAAAAAATGCCTTTTTTATTATAGGCTGATTTTAAAAAATACTTGCTTAACACATTTTAAAACGATAGATTGAAGATTTGGAATATTACTTAATATACATTGAGATAAAAATAGCTGTTATCTAGTTTTAGAAAATCCCCGGTTATCAGTTTTTATTTCAAAACGTTCAAACCAACAAGGTATTTTGTTTTTCTGTATCATCGATGAAAGTAATAATTTATTCGCGTATCAATACAATCTTTGAAAGCAATGATTGATTAAATAATAAAATTTTCAAATACTTAATGATGTCTTCAATTACATTTTATTACACAAATTTAGAGCTTTATTCTGACAACACTTTTTATTCTATTTAAAAAATTAATAAAATCCATTCAAAAGATATCCTACAGGTTATCTATGAAATATATGGTGATAACGAACAGTATTCAAGCTCAAAAGTCCATAAAACAATACAAAATAGGAGCAGAGCAAACACGGACCTCCAAACATCAGAGGTGGGATCAGGTGCCATGGAAGAGTGAGCATCCCCTGCCGACCGGTCACACCCGCCGTGTGCTCCTTGTCATGATCGGGAAATAAAGGAAAAATCCGTCAACAATTCAGTGTGTAAATAATGGCTTAACAATTAGTATGAAAAACGTCAGTCAGCATTTGACTCAATGATAAATTGTATTTGCTGACAAGGTCATTGTATCGACCATAGAACTTACAAAATGATGACTTTAAACGAGACAGCTGATATCCTTGTCTCATCAACTTATTTGTCAATAATTTACCTCGTTTTAGAAATTGTACATACGTAGAGCATGCTCTTGCGTATCGAATCAGCTGAGAGATATATACCCCGTATGCAGGTGATGAAGGTATATTGCTGCATAAGTAAGGGAAGTTGACGATTGAAAAGTAAAAGTCATCACGTTTATCATAAAGCTTGGTCGTTAGATTACCATTAACGTCTTTTTCAAGTAAACTATCCAAATATGAAACAGATGTGTCAGACTCTGTGGTATCTTTTATCTCAAGTTCACCAGGATATATCGTATCGACATAAGAATGGAAATAGCCATTGTTTATTGACAATACGTCGTCGATATATCTAAATGTCGAGTTGAAGGCCACAGCAAGTGTTTTCTTCTTTTCACGTACAAGATTTTGGACAAATTCTGCTTCATATGAATACAAAAAAGGTCTGCTAATAACGGGGCGCAATTGGTATCCATGGAAATTCCAATAGATTGTTGGAAGACCTGGTCTCCAAAAACCACATAGATACTATAGATCACCGTTGAATATTTACAAAGTATTCAATGGGAAAAAAACATAAAATATAGAATATTTGCTAAAACATTTCAATCTCAATTTTTTCGAACCTTTCTTTGTCTCGATACTTTTCCCTCTGGCGTCGAAAAATAATACTCTGTAAATTAATTTATCATACACATATCCTGAAATTTTCACATTTGTAATTTAAATAGGTCTCATATGTTTTTGCACACAGAAAAAAACTTATGATATTAAATTATCGGAGACCAATCAGAAAAGGAGGTGATTTCATAGAAAATCTATTATATCAGAATACCTATCATGGACGAAAGTTTAATAAAGACGATCTGATAGATTTAAAAAAAAAAGATTGGTACGCCTAGTTAAATATAACTTTTAACTCCAAACTCATCAGCAGTTCTATGATTTTAGAAAACCTTGCAAGAGGTAAATATGCCTGGCAGGAATTCCCCTACAGTAATATGTCTGGAGAAGCAGGGAAAGCAGTGGATGGTCACAGAGGTTTTTTGTCTGAGAACCAGTCTGATGTTGGGTACCAGTGCACGAAATCAGCAGATGGCAGAAAGACAGCAACGTGGCAGGTAGACATAGGACAGATCCTTCCCGTTCACCATGTCATCATATATTACAGTACTTCAGATAGAGACGGTATATATTTTATTTACTTTTATTAAATTTTACCACTGGAAGAAAATGTATAACTTAGTTTTTAGTATGTTCATGCACCAAACATGTGTTTATGGGAACCTCTGACAACAAAATTATGCCTCCACCCTTTACTGGATTCAGTCTGTCCGTCAGCAAAAGTGTATGAACGAATTACAATGAAAGTTTAGGAAAAAGTTTGTCATAAGGAAAGTGAAAACCGATTGGATTTTGAGATTGTTGAAAGCAAAATAGAAGGATTCTAAATTTCGTATAGTTTCAGTGTAACATAGTGTGTCATATATAAATCAAACCAATCAAGAATTTAAGAACAACATAATTACTATTCTCCATCTATGATCCTGTAAAGGGTTGGCGGAAATGTATTTTCTGATAACACTTAATTGGAAATAAGCATCTTTTATGGAAAAGAATGTTGTTCCATAATACAACAGTATAGAGAGTAAAAATAAGTAGCGGAGGTAAAGTGAATGTGAGCTCTAAACATAATTGTATTTTATTTAATATACTGTATAGATCTGTATACTATTAATCCAATTTCTCTGATTCTGAACAGGTTCTTCTTTCCGTAGTCAGATGTGTGGATTTTCCCTGTATATATCAAATACAAGTAAAAACTTTGAAGATGGAAAATTTTGTGATCATGCTTATAAGATTAAAGATTCCACGAAAAACATTAGCTGCACTGTTTCTGGAAGATATATCACCTACTACAATGAAAGGAGGTCAGACCACAGATATTCTAACTGTTCTACTTTTGCTCATAATGACTTATGTGAGGTGGAAGTCTACGGTATGTACGAGTACTTATACTCACTTCATTTTCTCGATATGATAAAAAAGAATGAGAATTTGTATCCAAATTTGAATTTTAAAACTTTGACTTTATTTCAATGATTATTGTATGTTTTGCCTGGTGGTAGGGCGTTCGCTTCGTGTCCGGAGCCCCGGGTTCGATTCTCCTTAGCCGCACCGGGTCAGACCTAAGACGTAAATAGGTAGTGACTGTTCCTTCGCCAAGCGCCCGGCATTAGAAGTGAAAGTCAAGTCAGGTGTCTTTCGGATGAGACCTTAAAAAGCGAGGTCCCTTGTCACAGTTGGTGTTGACACGATAAAGAGCCCTTACTGCTAAATATCCCCGTAGCAACTGCTAATGATAAAAAGCCGCTTAATGATAGAAATATCATTAAGCGTTGCAATGCAACGCTAAATGTCATAAATTATTGCATTAATAGTTGACATTCTGAACCGCTTAATGATACAATTCTTTCATTAACGGCGATTTAGCATTAGCGGTTGAGAATGTCAACCACTAATGCAATATTTTATAGCATTAAGCGTTGCATTGCAACGCTTAATGATATTTCTATCATATTATGTTCATGCATGATATTTTTTGAACCATTAAGCATTATCATTAACGGTTGCTTCGTATCCCTGAGTGCCGTGTATAGGTCTAACTTTGAAGCCCTTCACCAGTTTATGGTGACGTATCTATATGAGTGAAACAATTTTCGAATAGGACGTAAAACAACATACAATCAATCAATCAATCATTTTATTTTATTTTATTTTATTTTATTTTATTTTATTTGTACTTCAAGCTTCTTAGAATTAGGCAGAAGAATTAATTCTTGTCAAATCTGTAGTTTACATCTGCCAATATCCTGTTTTGATATTTATCAAATATAAAAATTGAAGATCAGTGTTGATATGAAATCTCTAAAATTGCACAATAAGGTTAAATTATACAAGTCGTAATTATATACATGTATGCGTTCATCATAACATTGCTCTTTTTTAAAGCCAAATATAAATTTCCAATTTATAGGATTGAAGATTCTTTTTTTAAGCGCCAAGCGCTTATTAGGGCCTCTTCATATACATGAAATCTTCCAACGACTTCTATAGGCATGTTAATTTTATAAACAAAGTATCATATGTCCAATTCAAAAGAAAAAATTAGCACCACTGCAGATCTAGGATAGTGCTATCATCCGCTTAATTTTATGAAGGATCTAGTGGTGAAGACCAGTAAAAGTGCTCACAAATGTTTCTTAAACAATGCAAATGATTACAAAAAAGTATAACATTCATTTCATCAGTGTAGGCTATGCTAACTTCCATAATTTGAAGTAATTACTTTCTCAAGAACACTAAAGACAAATGACCTAGTTACAGTATTATGCAGATAAATACATAAGAAGACACTATGCACGCCTGAGTTTCCCCTCAGCAATACCGTAAAACTGATTAGATTTACTTACATATAGAAATGAATTGCGTGCACCTACATTGTATAGTATCATGACAGTGTATAGACATTAATTTGATATAATTGAAATTCAGGGAGAAATTATGTAGAAATTATTTTGCGGAATATTTTTTCTGCAGGACACTATTATCAAGGCATATTAACTCAGCTTTATTCTGTTTTTGATTAGATATTTATTCTAATGGCTATTCATTAAATAAAATGAAAAAGTCGCCTCGAAATGACTTAATTGAAATTTAAATTAGAAAAATTATCACAGTGCATGTATGTAATCAACATAAGAACCTTTGTACAAAAATAATGAATTTATGTAGAATTGCTGAGGTGAAAAAGCCTCTCTATTTCATATTATGGGCATACATGAATATAAAGAAGGGCATTTCGCCAGTCTTAATATACTAAATAAATGTAATGGTATATTTTTATCATCATTTCTACCGCAATCGACGTGATGTTCCACATCGATAAAAATATCATTTAGCGCATTTTAAACAAATTACTTAGGTTGTTAGTAAATTCATTCTACACCAAAGTATGACAAGCCTTTTTAAATTAATCTTGACAAAGATTAAGCGTAAAATATAAGGCTTTGAATGACATGCTCTTCAGCTACTAATAAGAAAGCCAAATATTTTCTTAATATAAATTTATATCTTTACTATTCAACTTTCTTTTCTTCCCTCCCCTTATTGTTCTAAAAACTTTTTTTTGTGAAAATTATGTTCATCAAGAACAGTGATCACTCTGAAGCAAATCTTGGAGATTTTTGTGCAATTTTTTAGGATGTTCTCATTTGGGCGCTCTTGGTGTAAACTGCACCGTACCCTGTCCCGGATATTGTGATTACTGTGATGAAAATGGAACGTGTTTGTCCTGTAAAAATGGCCTCGACGGTCATTTCTGCAACATGAGTGGTATGTAGGTTAAGAAATGACATAGAAATACACTTTGTTATATTTTTTTCATTATTGACTAGGCTATACGCTTGAAGTTGAGAAAGATAAGTGTAAATTCTATGAGGATTATATAAGACAGTAACTCAGCACAGTATATTTTGTTACCTTAAACACCGACTTCAATAAGCTTTTCTTATCATACATCTTTTTTTAAACGAGATGATACCAGCGTTGCTTAGCAGAAAAAAATATGTACTACTTCGCTTTTTTAGAGCTGAACACTTTAGGTCATAGTGACAGAATTAGATACAGTTTTCCCTTTTCCATTGTGGTCCCAGTTGTCCTTGTCAGTTCTGTTGGGATTGTTGTTTTATTATCAGTTGTGATTATTCAGCGGTAAGAAGAGTATTGTTTTAATCTGTAAATAGACTCTGTATTTCAGTACATTTCTTTGCTAAAATCGTTTAAAAGATAATGATGAATATATATATATATATATATATATATATATATATATATATATATATATATATATATATATATATATATATATATATATATATATATATATATATATATATATATATATGTATGTATGTATGTATGTATGTATGTATGTATGTATGTATGTATTACCTTTTGCAGAAAAAAAATCCTTGGCAGTCATGATTTTGTGTTTCTTTAAATAAACTCGGTTTACTTTGTAGAAAAACTATTTTGAAGCAAAGGAAACAGGATACAGATAGAGAAAAATACAACAACTTCATATCACAGGCAGATAATGCTACTTATGACACAATACTAAAAAGAGACAGCTATGGCTATGAAGAGGCCGAAGAAAGATATCAAACCGTATTATAACAGTGTTGAATGAGGAAAATACTTTTTCAGAAAAAAATTTAAAAAATATCACGTGGACAAGTATTAATGAAGACAGATTTAAGAAAGATATGCATTTTCATTTTACGTTGTATGTATGAAAGTTTACGGATTGGTTTTTGTAATTCTGTACATCTATAAATTTATTTACACACATACTTCAGTAGTAAGTAGTAAGTCAGTATTGTTGAAGTGAAATGAAACATCGTTCAATTTAAATGAGAATGAAATGAACATTTCATAAATGATTTCACTGTTATTCAATTTTCCAATAACTTTACAGGTATGAATACTGGAACCTGCATTGCAAACAACAGCAAACAATCTTTGCTAGCCGGTTTCTGAATGAAATCAAACCATTTAAAGTTTTCCCTTTTATTTCGTTATTGTGGTATGTCCTTTGGAGTCCAGATTTATTAAATTAAATTGAAAAGTAGTACAGAGATTTTTCAAGGTGCAATATCATACCAACTTCTAGCTAAAGGCTTACAATCAGTACAATTTAGCCTACAATAAATAGTATGTACGCAATAAGAAACTTATTCTTTGTTTTTAGGTACATGTTCCCTAGCTTAAATTCCGTGTCAACATGTGACAGTGGGTTTCTTATATTACAAACATATTACAGATCAAAGTCTTTTTGATATTGTACAGCTAGGCCTTGTTGCATTTGTTGATCTCAGCATTAAATTAACATAGTAAAAGACCTTGATCTTTACCTATCCTATAAATTAAAAATTAGTAAAATTGAAAGCACTTTTAAAGAAAATTTAAACAAATGCATCTGGATAAACGGATATAAAATTTGAGAACATTTGTACTATGTAAGTACAATACTATGGATATGTAAACAGGGACCCATGTACTGATGATAACAAGGGATAAAGTAAAGACTGTTATTTTCAAATAACATTTTTAATTACATTACCTTACATGTCTAAATATGCTGCCACCGATATCCATCTAAGTAATATAGTTTATTTATTTTATCATTTATGAGGGCGTTGAGGAATACCAATAGGGAAGAAAGCTTTTATTTGGAATTCTTTTAACATTTTTAGCAAAACTTGTCTCAATAACAGACACAAGCCTCGATCAGGAATTATTTTAGGTGTACTTTGATCATTTTTATTAAAAAAAATGTCACGTTTAACAACACAATAGTTTTTAATCTAATTGATCTGTGTAGAACGTAAATGTGTAGACTCACCGATGTATTATTCATCCGCAAGAAAAAGAAGAACAACATTGTTTGCATTATTTTAGTGCAGATATTCGTGCATATCATTCTTAAAGCTAAATGCATTATTCAAAGGAATTTTTGCAATATACAGTTGAACTTTGGTATCTCGAACATGGATATCGCGAATACCATGGGTATGTCGAAATGATTTTGAAGTCCCAAGCGTTATTTTTTTTAAGTATTTTACCCTGGATATCTCGAATCCTCGGATATCTCGAAGTATTTTCTTGGTCCCATGAAGTTCGAGATAACAAGGTTTGGCTGTACATTCATTTGAATTGCACTTTGAACTACTACCTAAGACGATTGAAGCATAAATTTCATACATACAATGGCGGATATATATCTATATCTATATCTATATATATATTTAGATAGATAGATAGATAGATAGATAGATAGATAGATAGATAGATAGATAGATATAGGTATTTTCCGTACTTATGTTAAAAAATTCAAATGTGAGAAGAATAACAAACGGTTTATTGTTTTATGTTCGGGTTTAAAAAAAATACATGTAATTGGTATTTCGTATTGTTTGTAGCTTTTCCAAGGTCCTTCATCCAGCAAGCTAACCTGAATGTGCAAATAGGACCTTGAGATTTTCTTAACCCACTGTGATGAAAGTCCCTTCCTAATATTGAATAAATGACAACATATAGCATGCAATGTTTAAATATATCAATATAATGTTATGATAAATAGTCACAACTTATGTGAAAATAACGCCAAATAGCATTACTTTTTTAAAATTTACAAACATTTCTATGTTATGAATTTTACAGTTAGGATTATCCGTAACTTACATAGAATAGTGAAGTCTGATGTTCTTACAAAATACTATCGTTGGACATAAATGCACAACAATATGCTTATTTAAAATGTTTGATAGTAAGACTACAGTTACGTTCCTTTAAATCCCAAAGATTTAAATAAAGATAAAAAAAGAAGTGTACCTTTTCCTTAAGGTAAACTTGCTTCAAGGGGAACATTCGTACAAGGCTTTCAAAAGTGCTTATTACACTTCACAAACAGTATGAGACATTTGAGATACAAAAACAAATATCAGATTTCTATATAAAAAATATTCTTATACGTTTAGACGCGAACTAGAACTGTCTTGCCATTTAATAGTATCCCACTTCTCATTTATGATACTGGTAGTTAGAAAAACCCCAGGTTTTTTTCTCCCAAAATCAATTGTTCCTTTGTCGAGTCACTTCTTCTCATTCAATTAATTCAAAGAATATAGTTCTTTTAATTTTGCTTCAAAGGTCTCATGAAGGTGTGTTTATAATTACAAAGAAGAAATAAAATATTCTGAGTTCATTCCTGAGTTTGCACTAAGAATGTATTGCTCTCAGCTCACCTGATGGAAGCAAATATCAATTTTGTTTTCATTTTCAATTAACTTATTTAATAAGTTTCTCCGGAATTTCTTTTTAGTTTGATTCGTTTACAAAAATTTTCTTATCCAAGTATATCCTACATTGTAATTCTTCAATTTAAAAGTATATTTCTAAGGTAAAATAAGTATATTTCTAAGAAAGATTATGTCACATTATGAACTTCAAGCTAATGAAAAGGCACCTATTTAATTGATACTGCATCTGACAATCACACTTAATAAAAATAATGAATTATTCTTAGAGATTTATCGTCCAGTTGTGACACATACAGTCTGTCATTATTGTCCTTGGTAACACTACAAGGCCTGTGAATTCCTTCATACGTCAAGAACCTTAGAAGGCGGCCATCTTCGTTTATCACGTGTAGTTTGCTATTTGCATCGTCAGCTATAATCATATCAGAATTGGAATTACAGCATATGTCTACTGGATGGAATAATTCATCTTTATGTGCGCAGTAGGAAAAACGGAAATCACCTTGCCTATTAAAAACAACCACGGATGAGGTTCCTTTATCAGAAAGTAAAAATTCCGGGTTGGTCACACAAATGTCCCCATTGCCATTTATAGCAATATTGTCGGGATACTGAAAAAGGTGCTTCCCATCACTGTGTTCGATTTCAAGAAGTTTCTCGCCCTTCATATTATACTTGGATATTTTGGGAGGTGTGATATTGCAGATGAATACCGTCTCTGGTTTGACAAATGCGATGCCCCTGAGACTGCCTTCCAGAGGTAATAGAAACGTGTCTCCAACATCATTTACTTTTCTTATACCCTCTGAAGCAGTGTACAAAAAGCCATCCTTAGTCGGAGTAAAAAATCTCACAATGTTTTTTGGTTTGTATACATCGAGTAGATGTCCTTCTGTGTTGAAAAGTTTCAGAAGTGGGGCACCATTTTCCGCTACATAAATTTTCTGCTTATCACTATATCTCACGCATATCATTGTATTTAATCCACTTGGAATAACTTTTGTTACTTCTGGGTCATGAATTGATTTTTCCACAGTTTTAAATCGTTTATTGTACGGAACAATGACATGATCAAGTTCGCTCAGATCCATGTGTTGCAATAAGCATTCTCTACACAGTCTTTTTCCACAAGGTTTGCAAAAGAACTGGACATCCATATTACAGAAATGGCAGCTCAAAAAATGTTGGGATATTTCATTGTCCGCCATTCTAGCACATAACCTTACATAATTCGATTGAGTGTTCAAGCAAGAAAAGAATATAATGAATGGCTTTGAATAGAATTTAAATATCTGGCTCGGATGGCATGGACTTGCAGGCACATGCGTTTTTAAGACCTATTTTTCAACTTTTAAATGTTTACTCAATGCACTGTAATTGCATTTATTCAGGTCGAGTTATTGAGTTGGATAACGTTTATACAGGTCATCAGGAAAGCAATGTAAACAAAAGTAATTTTCTAGAGTACATTGCGGTATTTTTGCCTTGCTGCTCGTTTGAAAACTTGAAGATATAATCAGTGGGTGTAAATATTAATCATTTGCATATAATTTATAACTTGAAACAAATCAATTGGTATTCAAAGTACATGTACCTGATCAAAGATATTATACATGCATGAATGCACAAAAACACATTTAAAACATTTGAACAGGAGAACAGATAAATCAATAAAATATCGTCATGGAATATAAGGATGAACTCTGATCTGTTTTAGAAAATAATAAATTTAATTCTTTTTATGTTTGTCAAATGGGCATCTCGACTAGATGAGATTTGCAAAACCTAGATTCACTGAAATGACATATGTGAAAGCTACATATATACTATAATGGAAACGTTTTTAATATGTAACAGGAACTTGTTCATTATGGCAATTTCTTATCAACCATGAATAAATTCTGGCAACTTAAGGTAAGATTTGCGATCACATGGAGATAACTTTTAAAATCTTACTCCTAAGTTTTTGAAACCGGCGAAATTTAAACCACCGATGCTAAGTTCGATTGATTACCCAATAAAGGATAGCTAGTTTTTTCAATACCGATTGGAGCAAAGAATCAGATGTATTGTACATCATCCACTTCACCATTATTATTATTTGGCATCAAGAACGAAAGGAAATATAGACTTGGGGCATTCTGTTACATTCTTTGCAGTCCGACTCCGTCCGAACAGTGAAGAGAAGCATGGTTCCTGGGAGGAGCCACGGGGCATTTAAAGTTTGATATAATTTGCATCAGGTAATTATTTAAGTGTTAATTTTATATACTTGTAGTTTATAAGCACGTATTCCATTATATTACTGATAGTTGTCAGTGACCAAGCTTATTACGGACATAAACAATGAGGAGTAGATCAGAGGGACTAATAAGTAATATCTTTCAATGCTAAATCAGTTGTCATTAAAAACTTTATTATTATTTTTTAAAATATTTTTTTTAAATTTTTTTTTTGTAAATTCATTGTTTGCTTTGCTTCCGATCTCTATTGGTATTGTTTCAATGGACTTTTGAGCTTGATTACTGTTCGTTATCTCCATATTTCATTTTTAAAATTCTTTTGCTTTCTAATACAATCAGGAAAGCATGTTTACCGTTTTTATGAAATAATTTGAATTGTTGATTGAAACTTAGTCAGTTCTTCTGTTATTTCTCACTTAAAATCGGTGCTCACTGAAAAAAGGACAAATCAAAGGTTTTTTTTTATTATTATAATTTTAAATATCAATCTTGAATGCGGTAAACAAATAAAGAACAAGGTACAGTTTCAATACAAATCTGGCCCTGTATTTTTCTAAAATATGAAAGTGACGAAAGAAATTAAATTTCATGCTTTCTGAAATGTTGAAACTCCATGCACTAGGATCAAACAAATCGTTTTTCTCATTTGACTTCCTAAATGCTAATTGTGACATCATAAACTTGTGCCTTTTCCCGTATTTCTTTAAAAATTGCAGAAGACATCAATTTTCAGTGAAATTTTCTTAAAGATAATATAGACCACATGCATCGCCCACAAAGATTTTGAGAAATATGACTTTTCAAAGAATTTTACACAACATATCCAAATGTTGAAGTGGGCGATGGCTGTGGACTCAATTTTCTCAAGGAAAATACCCCCTGAAATGAGTCATTTTGAAGCTTTTTCTGCTTAAAACTTCGAAAAATTCAAAATTAATGACGTCATATTTGCAGAATGGTCCTCCTTCATGCCACATTCTTTCATGAATTATCACACTCATATACTCAACTCATATTTATGCCAATTTCAAAACTTTTTGAAAACATTAAATTTTTAGGGCACAATAAAGCCAAAACCGTACCTTCTTCTTTTCAAACTATTTTAGTCAAATATACAGAATAATTTTAATATGCTGCACATGGATTTCTCCCTAGTAAGATTTCAGTATGAATGTTATCATAAACCTCAATTTTATCATCTCAAGGATCTAAAAGTACGTCTAAAAAGAGGAGGGTTTAAAATCATAAAATCTTGGACTCATTATCAAGATATTTTTCAAAACTCTTTCCTATCTTACTTGTATGCACTGGCTATATGAGTTCCAATATTGATTAATAAGTTTTACTGATTGCTAAGCCTAGTTAATTGTCATACTCAGAGGTAATTTTGGTTCCCACAAAATAAATACATGAACTAGATGGATGATCTTAGAGAGTTTTCGAACATTCACTCATCAAGCTTATATAATTGCATTCATCTAATTCAGTCTGTAGAAATGTATACATTAATCTTTATAATAGTATCAATATTAGTTATAAAGTAATTATGTTAAAAACTCATTCACTTCATCCGGGTTTTTTTCCATACCTTTCATTATATGTAAAATGAACACACTATTTCAGGATCATATTTATGTATCATTTATGTGAAGGAATTAGAAGAAGTATTTCAGTTTAGACGGTCTGTGCCATCCATCATAGTAGAAATCATCCTATACCTATGGAAAGCCATAGGGGACCCCCATGTCATGTTCTATATATTCCATTGTAAATCAATCCTGGCCGGTCAGGATATTAATCATGACCATGTCAAGATTTCAAACATGACCAAGCCATGATTTTTATCATCTTGACCAAGTCAGGATTGATAACATGACCAACCTATCTTGGCCAAGTCAGGATTGATAACATGGCCATCCTATCTTGGACGGTCATCATATAACATGGCCATCCTATCTTGGCCGGTCATCATATAACATGACCATCCTATCTTGGCCAAGTCAAGATTTATAACATGGCCATGCTATCTTGGCCGGTCATCTTGACCAAGTCAGGATTGATAACATGACCATTCCTATCCTGGGCAAGTCAAGATAACATGACCATCGATCCTATCTTTATGGAAAGCCATAGGGGACCCCCATGTCATGTTCTATATATTTCATTGTAAAACAATCCTACCCGGTCAGGATGGTAATCATGACCATGTCAAGATTTCAAACATGACCAAGCCATGATTTTCATCATCTTGACCAAGTCAGGATTGATAACATGACCAACCTATCTTGGCCAAGTCAAGATTTATAACATGGCCATGCTATCTTGGCCAAGTCAGGATTGATAACATGGTCATCCTATCTTGGCCGCGGTCATCATATAACATGGCCATCCTATCTTGGCCAAGTCAAGATTTATAACATGGCCATGCTATCTTGGCCAAAGCAAGATTTATAACATGGCCATGCTATCTTGGCCAAGTCAGGATTGATAACATGGCCATCCTATCTTGGCCGCGGTCATCATATAACATGGCCATCCTATCTTTGCCAAGTCAAGATTTATAACATGGCCATGCTATCTTGACCAAGTCAGGATTGATAACATGACCATCCTATCGTGGCCAAGTCAAGATAACATGACCACCCTATCTTGGCCAGGTCATGATTTAATCTTGACCAGGTCAGGATTGATAACATGGTCATCCTATCTTGGCCGGGTCATGATTCAATGTTGACCAAGTCATGATTGACAACATATGCCCATCCTATCTTGGTCGACCAGGATTGCATTGCGCCAGGATATATTACTTCCAAACGCAGCCAAGATTTCTTCAAGCGTCAATCCTGGCCAAGTCAGGATGTATTTCTTCAAACGCAGTCAAGATTTCTTCAAGCGTCAATCCTGGCCTAGTCAGGATAACATTGCGCCAGGATGTATGACTTCCAAACGCAGTCATGATTTATTCAAGCGTCAATCCTGGCCAAGTCAGGATGTATTTCTTCAAACACAGTCAAGATTGCATTGCGCCAGGATATGTGACTTCCAAACGCAGTCATGATTCGCTTTAGTATGGTAATATGTAAGCGCTTCCCTAACACCGAAAAACCGCTGAAATGTGTATTGGGTTTCCAACCTCCCCGTTCGTCTCAGCTGACAAGTAAGGTAAGTTCAGGTGATTTTTCCCTTATAAATCTTTATGAATAGCTTAGTTTGCTGTTCTAAACATGTAGTTTACGTAATGGTTCTTTGGAGTAAATCATATGAACAGCATTCCAACAATCGAAGACATTCTGCAGTTTTCATCGAGGAAATTCGAATTTGTCTATCGACACATTTGTTATACAATTAAGATAAATGGCTCTTTAATTTTCTATGCAGTTAAGAACATGAAGAAATATGTTATTTCATTTGCATTTAGAATCAAGTTGTTTTTATACAATACATTCAAGAGAAATTTGCTTAATACTTTCATTCAATTATACAACTCTGGGGCTAAATTGGAAGGGGGGCTTCATCCTGCTCTATACAGATAAATTACAACACCTACTGCATTATATTTTTGCAATTTAAAGTAAACGTATCATTTATGTACTTTTTTTTTTCTTTTTAGTACCACGTAACAGTAATTTGTGTGTACTGAACCATCAACATATTAAACTGCAGATCCATACCGGCCAAGACTGGTGATAGATATGTATAGGTAGGTTTTCTTTTACTTCTTGTAATTTTGGGCAAATACATTAAAATTGAATTTTAATTTTGTCTTTTTATGAAAAGATGCTTTTAATACATGTATTCATATTAATTTAAAAAAAGGTAATTAGTAGCAAACAATGTTTGTGTAACTTCTTGTATTGAAAAAAAATATAGTTTCTTGAAAATTTAAATATACATGTACATGTATTCTTTTATATTATTTGTAGATACACATATATATATGACTAATGCATGTATATTAAGAATGTATTAAATATTAATAGTATTTTAGATTGACGCATGCTCAGCTGACTGGGGACTATGAGTATGGAAAACCATTTTGCAGAATTAGGAATGTGCAGCTGAAAGTGGTACACTTCATTTACAAGCATTTCAAATTTATAATTGTCTCTATATACTTTCTGTTTGTTTTAACGAAAAGGAAACCAGCAATCATACATAATGGAATTACTTATACAGATATATTTTATGTTTTCCAATGTCAAGGTCAAAGATCAAAGGCCAAGACTGATGTCAGCTTGAAAGAAACCACTCTGTGCATTGGATTTGCTAGATAAAAGATGATGAATTAATGCACCAGTTTCAAGTCCAAAGGTCAGTACAGTAAAACACGGTTAATGTGAACATGCTTACAATGAATTGATGCTTATAGTGAATTGATTTTCATTGCCCTTGGCTTTAAATCACATTGTGAACTTAGCAGATATAACAAATAATGTTTGTAATGAAGTTAACAACTTGCATTGAATTTCATAATTTTTTAATTTACATAGATAAAGTAACAAGATGATAATCATACAAGTTTCTATTTGTATTGCTAATCAGGTATTGTTTTATTCTTATTCGAAGATCGAAAAGCACCATTTAGGTCAAGGTCAACTCCAAATATTGGTTAAAACCTAATTTGTACCAACAACTGATTCCAGAAGAGGACACCCATAAAATAGCTAAACAGGTATAGTTTACCAATTTCAAGTTCAAAGGTTTGTACCGGTACATTTTGTTCAAACTGGAGTTTAAAATCAGATGGGGACTAGGCTGTGTATTGACCAAAATATTTCGATACGATACGATATTTCATAATGCAATATGCGATATATTGGATTCTTTAACAAATCTATTAAAAAAGGTTTTGTAAATCATTTAATGCATGAATTTGATAAAAACTGGGTGTTTTATTACTAAATTGAAAGTTCATGTCTCACTCTCTTTACAAAGTACACTTCAAATTCAAATTTTTAATGACTGTAAAACTAATATGTTGAAAAATAGTTGTCTATGTATTTTGCAGTAGTTATTAAGATGTGCTATCTCCTTCATGTTTATTTCATTATTGATCAGCTTTAATTCAAAACAGTGAAATATAATCTTTGGGGACTGAAATTCCCAACTTTTTCACAGAATTTTAAGAAAAACTCTCTGTCCAATACAAATTGGAAGTTAGTTTTTTGATACGATACATTCCTGAATATTGATATGTATTGATTAATCGATATATTGACACAGCCCTAAAGGGGACCAAAATATTTGAAGAGAAAACGCTTTTTAAATATTTTTGGTCAATTTTTGCTCTAAACTTTTTGAAATATGCACTGAAATGAATTAATTTTTTTTTCAGAGCTTGGCAATAAATGACACCTCTACCAGTTGCGGAATCACCGCCCATGTATAGAGAGTATTTTTGATGTGTAAAGAAAGAGATCTTCACTGAATTAGTTTTACATAGAAATGATAGAATGTAATCTTCTCAGATTGAGCTGTAAGCTTAAGAGAGCTTTTCTGATCATCCATTGTGCAGCATCTGTTTGTCTATATACTGTAATCATTTTAGACTTCTTCTTGAGAACCACTGGTTTCCCCCTTCCAAGAGTAGATTATCAAGAAGGGCAAAAATGGGGTGGATGAAGGGATTATTTAAAAATCTTCTCAAGAACATCTTGGCCAAAAAGATGAAAGGTTTATGACAAAAGATAGTGTGAATTCTGAATTTTTCAAATTGTGGCGCCCATGGGTAAGCTACAATTGATCATTGATTAATGAAGTTAAGAGAGTCTAACACATGTTCGTGCTTTCAATCACATTTTGCTTTCGCACAGCTTCCTTCATGGTTAAATTTTCAAATGTGGAGAACCCTGGGTAGCATAGGTCGAAGATAGGGATCTAACTTTAACATGGAAATATAAAGGAATTTAAAGTTTTTTGGATGTAGCATAGATTTTAAATTGATCATTAAATCAAAGGGGGTATGTTGGGGCTAAAATAAGAGGTCAGTTTGACATAGGAATTGATTAGTTGAGCATCCTCAGGGTAGTGCAAAATTAACTTCATTTGAATCGTGGCCCTTAGGGTGGAATCATAATGGGGGATCCAAGTTTTGCTGGGGAAAAAAGAAAAAATCTTTAACAATCTTTTTTTGAAGAACACTAGGGCCAAGACTAATCACAATGCATTTGGCCAAATGTAAAAACTATACAGGGGCAAATTGTTTTCATAAGAATGAAGAAATAATTTTTTTTTATTAAAAGTATTCTGAGGAAAACATGACCAAAGTAACTCTGGTGAGCTATGTGGTTCATGTTTCTTTTTTTATTGTGTATGTGTATAGAGTATTTTTTTTGTTTCTCGGGCAAATACTATGTAGCATGAAAAAAAAAACTTATTCTCGCATTTTAGTATTGTTTTTAATATCTTGAAAGGTCCTTGATACAAGAAAGCAATAAATTAGAGTACTGTTTGTCTGTGTTATAGATAATGTGCATTTTACATCTTGTACTAAAATATTTTACTTTTTTGGTGGGGGGGGGGGGGGATTTGCTGTTATTTACCTTTGCATATGTTATAGAAAACTGAAACTGAACTTTTAAAGAAATGCAAAAAAGTTAAAGCATATATATATATATATATATATATATATATATATATATATATATATATATATATATATATATATATATATATATATATATATATATATATATATATATTGTGTTGTATTTTCTGAGAAAAGAGACAAATGTTAAGCATGTAGAGTTGTCAAAATAACTGCATGTAACAAGAGCCCCAAGGACCTTGAATGGAACTTCTGATAAATTGTACTACATATCACTTCTATTTGAAGCCTCTTAGTATCCTATATAATTTAGATGAAGCCTTGAAATTCATAAAGTAGGTCAATTTGACCTACATTTTGGCTACCATACTCTGAGAACCCAAGATTCCTAAATTGACAAAGTTCAATGATTCTAAGCCCTTTATTATCTTAAATATTCAGAAATAAATATTAAAAGGTAGGTCATGGTTATCTACTTTTTAATCAAAATACTTCAAGGACCCAAAATGCATTAACTGACAAAGGCTGATGATTCTAGGCCAATTAGTGTTTAAATATTTGAATATATCCATAAAATTCTAAAAGTAGGTCACAGAGACCACTTTAAATTTGACACACTTAGTCTGAGGACCAAAGATACATCAACTGACAAAGTTTGATGATTCTTAGCCAATTAGTACCTGAAATATTTAAATATAGCCATAAAATTTCAAAAGTGGGTCACAGTGACTTACTTTTCAGTTGACATTCTCATGGGACGCATGATGCATCAACTGACAAAGCTTGATTATCATAGGCCCTAAAGTGTCCAAAATATGCCTCTGAAACTATTTGAAAACAAATGTCTACAGAATTCAAAAAGTGGGTCACTGTGACCTATTTTTTTAATGAATGTGTTTTAAGATTCCAAGATGCATCAACTTACAAGGGTTGACGATTCTAATCCTCACAGTATCTTAAATAATGACCTAAAATGTTTTGGAAAATTTAAAAAAGTAGGCCAAGGTGACCTACTTTTGAGAGATGCATCAACTGACAAAGTTTGATGATCAAACTTTTTTGATGATCAATTTGAAAACGAATGCCTGCAACATTTAAAAAGTAGGTCACTGACCTACTTTTGAGTCAACATGATATGAGGTCCTAAGGTACATCAATTGACAAGATTTCATTATCCTAGTCCTTATAGTAAGCAAAGTATAAAAGTTTATCAAACAAAACATAATTTTTCAACTTTGAAGTGACCCCAAGACTGCGCCCTTTGCCCCAGGGTGATGCCTTGAACAACTTTCAATCTACAACATATCCTCATCCTTGTATGTAAATTTGGCGATAATCTGCCCAATGGTTCTTGAGAAGATTTTTTAGCAACCAGTACTTGTGGTTTTATTTTCCTAGTTATCACCCCTTGTTTAAGGGTCACATCCCTTGTTTTAGTATAAAAGAGAGCCCTTTGGCCAAGGATACTCTGTGACAAAGAACTGGGTACGGTAAGCCCAATAATCGGCCCTGTAAAATCGGCAAAAATTAAACACAGGTTTACATTTTATCAAATGTATCAAGTTACTGTTGAGGTTTCCCTGTGTGTGAAATGGTTAACATTTTTTTCTCAACTAAAGCGCCCTTTCATTTATATAATGTTTAAAACCGGTCTTATTTTCCGGAATTCCCTTATTTTGGATGTTTTCATCCTCTTCAAGTCTATATTTCGATATGGCCGCATCCGAGTATGTATGCGAAATTTCACAGAAAGAATAAATATAACCCGATTTCTAATATCAAAAAGAAAAAATGACTTTACAAAAGTGCGGCCACACCCGTTTTTACAAAAAAAAAAAAATGAAGTTGAAAATGCTGCATTTTTGGATAGACGTCACTTTTCTCCACAATAAATCTATACTTTTAAAGAAATAAATTGTTTAATTCTGTATCTGAAGGTTTTATTATTCTTTTTATTGTCTTTTAAATTCAATTCTGCTTTTGAAAAATAATTTAATACTATTTATGCAAATGAAAACCATATATAAACCTTTCTCAGTGAAATTTATTATGGGACATAACATGTAATTAATGACGCCATGCATTGGAAAAAATGACGTCACAAAGAGCAATCATGTTGAAAATATGGACTTGAAACAAATTCTTCCGTCTTTGCAACTATGATAAATATTGAATCAATATTTACAGCGTAAAAAATAAAAAACGACATAAGTTGGGCTGGTTCAGATGATTAGTTTACATTTAATTACATACAAGTACCTCCAATTAAAACGCGCATCTCCTTCATAGTGGACATTGACTTTATTTGACTGTTCAAGAAAGGGTTTTTTTAAAACCTTTTTATTGAAAATCATCAGCTGTTTTCAATTTATATATGTGTGGGATTCATAAATATCATGCAATATGTAGCTAGTGATTGGGGCAGGTAAAGGGGGAGGGGGGGGGGGGCTAGGAGGGAAGCTTGGCGTATACTAGTAGAAGTCACCATTTGAACATTTTTTTTAAACTTATTATCCTTGTCACTGTATTGTTGCAGATTTTTATCTGACAAAATTAATTATGTCAGAAAGGATTCTAATGTTTTATCGGATAATCAGGAAGTGCTTTATATATGACTAAAAACTTCTAAATCTTCCACTGCCGACCTACATTTACTTATTGGAGGTCTGCAGCTGGGAATGGAAAAGTTCTTATTTACACTTATTAATTATATATATATATATATACATTTATCTTATATATACATTTATCATGCTGATCGGAATATTGACATCAGTGTTTTCAAGTAAAATCGGGTTTACTTTATAATTTACAAGGAATTATAGATAAGGAAAAATTAATTATGTTGACAAACTAAGTTTATAAGGTTTATAAACCTAGACAGTGGTGTACTTTTTCGGCATTTACTACGAAAATTTAAGTGAAACATGAATCAACCTTTTTTATTGTCTATATATAAATAAAGATTATCTGTTCCCAGTTCTGTAAGAAATACAAACACGATCATTTATTACTTGTGAACAAGACACCCCCTCTTTCCGCTCCATAATCGATGATTTAACTCGATTTTTTTTTTCAGAAATTATTTTTCTAATACATTTTTAAGGCATTTCAAGTCTTGAAATGAAAAAAAAAGATATTTCTATAGATATTTACCTGTATAAAACGAATGTACATATTAACTACACTATACTAGTATATATTGATAATCTTGAAGTAAGCGAGAATTTTTAAAAGGATTTTATCCAGATTATCCATGAAATAATACATTAAGTATGTCATAGGAAATATGATCAGTATTCCAATGGATGTTCATCGGGGCTGGAGAAGGGGGTGGGTGGTGGGTGGGGGTGGGGGTTCCTGCCCAGTATCACCTTTGTAAAAATGGTGCACATTATCTCTGAATTTTAAAGATTTCTGTGATGATAATCCGTTCCGGAAAAAAAAAAATATTTAAAGTAATTTATCGTTACTACAAGGACAAATGTAAAGATTTGCGGAGGAAATGCCCCAGATCGAGTTTATGTATCCGAAGGAAGTGAGAACATTATCATTGTCACATATATATATAAAATATCTTACCTACGGTTGTGTAACATGTAAACATCAGGAGGAGTTCTAAAGCAACACCAGTATCTATTTTAAAGCAGTTTTTGTTTTAGTAGATGTATAGTCATGTAATACATGTCAGCAGTTTGTTAGGTATATTTTTAAAGGTTTTTTTTTTTTTTTTTTTTTTTTTTTATCAGACACTAACATGAAAAACAAACATAATCAGGCGATACAATCCAGGAATGGCAAGGATAACTCTATAAGAAACACTGTGACGTGTTTTACTTATTGTTCCCACAACTGACAAGTAACAAAATAACATCAGATTTCGTATAAATTTGATAACTAAACTAGCAATAAAATCTCTATGTAGCATATAAAAACATGGCCGTAGGAACCGGGGGGGGGGGGCACGGGGGGGGGGCGATATATAGATTACTATAGAAAACATAGTTACTATACGCATGTGCCTCCTCAATAAAAACGTCTGATGACCTTTTTTTTTTCTTTTTTTTTTTTTTGCTTGTCAAGGAATTTTTGGTAGTCGATAGTGCCCCCTCAACTGAAAATGTATGGCTGTGCCCCCAAACTGAAATTGCTTCCTACGGGTCTGCAAAAGGAACATGAAAGTGAATTTTGATTCTTTTATGTGTGTTCTGTTATTCTGCATTTCGATTATTTGTATTTTGTCTCCATTTAAATAGAAGTGTGTGTGTGTGTGTGTGGGGGGGGGGGGGTTACTGATAATCAAGTTATACATGTACTTTAATGAGGACCAATAAAAAAAATTTCCACTCGACTGTGACCGTTGATCGATCTTTTACTGATCGATATCAATGCAAGTGTCTGCCGCTTCATGCTGCATTGCTTTAAATTTGAAGACGACACGCGGAGATTTTCATAGCCGACGTGGATAAATCATACACACATACTATATCCTCCCTTTTTAAATTTTAGTTTTAGGGAATTATGCCCGTTAGAGTGTACTAGAGCATTCTGAATCCCTTCTGAATTTGAATCCCCTCCCGAGAATTCATGTGCATTTCCTGTCGAATTCACTACGCAGATTTAAACATGTAATTTTCGAGTTTGTTAATAAAATAATAAGTATGTACATGCAAAGTATCGTGTTTGTCTCTAAAAAATATTAAATTATTAGTATTGGCTAAAGAAAATATTTTGTTCGTCGAGAAATGGATCTAAACAAATCGCATACCCCTTTTTTAAAAGGCTTCGGAGATTCACGGTTTTAATTTGAAGGAAAAATTTTCGAAGTCTGTAACGCGCGTTATGATTGACCGTTTCAAGTTTTTTTTTTTCTATGTTCAGCGTTTATGGGGTCGGATTGGTTTTTGAGATTATGAAATTAAAAACAAACGCAAATTAAAACTGACAAATAATACAAAGCTTTGAAACGGAAACACAAGTTAACTCAAATTAAAATCAACAAATACGAATCCCTGAGATGCATTTTACTCTTTTGGGATTGACATCTCTGTTTTAAGTGGTATATTAATTTTTTTATTTCAATAAAGTAGAAGTTTGAAACTTAGTTTTATTGCGAGGAGAGGTCCCAAATGATAATAAGAAATTCTAGAATTGTTCTCAAAATGTTGTGTTTTTCCCCTTTTGGTTTGTGTGTTTTCTCGGATAGGAAGAGTGACGTAGCAGCGTTTTTGAAAGGGGGGGGGGGGCAGCCCAGAGAAAAAAATTCAACTTCCTGGAAAAAACTTGACAAGCAAAAAAAAAAAAAAAAAAAAAATTCCGGTTTTCCGGGTTTGGGACCGGAGGAGTGGGGGTTTCAAACTTCTTTCAGTACCAAATCTTATTCTTACACTACTATGTTACCCTTTTTGACTTTACTCTAATAAAAGGGGGGGCTGGCCCCTTTCAATGAACATTTTCAATAGTAAAAATTTATGATTGGAAAAAAGTAGTGGGGGCCATCAACCCCCCCCCCCCCGTTGCTACGTGCCTTAGGAAGACAGGTTTTCGAATTTAGGGTGGACGCTAAACAAAGGAAAAACTTGGAATCGCCCCATCAATCAGGAATCCGCAAGTAACATCTTATAACCGGTCTCCCCTTGTGGTTTTACATAGAAAGTGAATGTGTGCAACTATATTGGGGATTATTCTTGGTTAGTGCATTTGACATGAATCATGCAGTAAAGCGGATCCACTGGAATCAAATTTGGAGACAGGGCCGCCTTGTTATGTGTAACGTACCCAGTTTTTTTGACAAAAATCGGCCAAGGGGTTCTCGAGATATAGCCCATATTCTAAAAAGTTTACACACACCGCACAAATGGCAATAGCATTAGCACTTTGAGCCTTTGTGCTCAACACTAAGAAGCAGAGGGTATTATTTAATATAATTAATGCATTTTCACTATATTATAGAACCCCACCCTTACATCAGAACATCTTACCCAGGAAGCATGAAACTCTCAAATGTGATCAAAAATGTTTATGCTCATTCATTCCCCCAATAAACTTTCAAAAACTGGCCAGATATGAATCATATATATTAGATGGCCTTAAACTTGTATAATTAAAAAAAAAATGGACAGACATACAAGGTCCCACATTATTTTCATTTTTATAATCTAGACCTTTTGAGTTTGAGCAACTGACATTCATAAAGATATATACCACAAACAAATTTTCTTATCTTCCACACAGAAGAATAACACTGGTATTGTTTCAATATTTCTTTTAATGGAAATATAATTAATAAATTTTAATTTAGTAGAATGTAAAAATAGGCTCTTGAAAATTTCCCCAGAAACTTTGAAGCAAGAAAACTGAATACATTTTATAAACTTTTCAAAAAACATATTGAACTGTAAAGTTGCATTTTTGCACTTTTTGCCAAATAATGTACCTTGGCCAAAAATTATGTTGTTTAACTATACAAATATTAATTCCAAAGTGAGAAAGGCACCTAATTTAGCAAAGATATCTGAATTTTGGAAAAAAAAGTTTGTTTGTGTTATTTATCCTTAATAACCTGTAATTGTTTCTTTGGGTGTGTCTTCAGAATAAAGTCTTCATGTTTAAATAAATTTTTTGTCCAAAACAAAAGAGTTTATTGTTTGGATGTAAAACATAAATATCAATCTTGACTGAGAATGAAATCTACAATTGTCAACCTATTATACAAAGTGAAAATATTCCAATTAACTTAACAATACCAAAGTAAGTGTGCTTCATTAAAACCCACATCAAGTGTCTTGATCCTTTGACCATTTAAGTAAATAACAAGATTTTATGCATAAAAAAATGTTATTGCATCAAAATGTCATCCAAACAAACTTGATCTTTGACAAAGTTATTCTAAAATATAGAAAATGAGTTTTGCCAAAGCAATCTCTCCAGCAATTTCTTTCCATATTATTCATGTGAATTCTATGGGTTATATGTCCTTATTGCGTTGCACCAAGCACACATCCACAGGAAATGAAATCAGTGGCACAGCTAAGCATCCAGGCTTCCACATCAATCCTAAAAAAACAATCATCTATCATCTTTAGTCTAACTAACATTTTGAATTCAAATGAAGGATTTATATATTTGTATCAGCTTGTATGTCACCTTCCTATATAGTAACTATTGATACTTTTCATACAATATGTACAAGTAATTAATGAAAAAATACAAGTCATAAATCATGCATGGATCCAGGGGGAATTTATAACACCCCCTCCTCCCCTGGAGTGTTCAAATTTATCAACTTTGTATAGTTAGTCAATTTTTTTTGAGAGGCTTTTTAAGTAGGTGTGCCTCCCCTGGAAAAAATTTCTGGGTCCATGCATAATGCATGTAAACGAAGCAAAAAAATTATTCATAGAATAAATGCCATTGTTATCTCCATCTTGCTACTTTATAGCTGATTTTATTTTATACTCTTGAAGCCCTCACATTCTCTAAGCAAATATCCTGTCTTTTATCCCAAAAAATATTGCTTTCAGATGTATAAGTTTGATTGCAGTTAATATACATACTTATTACATAACAAAGGTCAAAGTAAAAAAAAAAGATTCATTGGTCACAATGCCCACCTGCATATTTGTGGCCCTTCATGTTCATCAGCAGATTCTTTTTAAGATATAATCCCATGTAAAATCTAAATTGATCACTACCTGCAGTACAAGCCTATTCCTGGAGGTTAAGATTTGAACAAACTTGAATCTACACTATCAGAGGATGCTTCCAAATAAATATGTCTGATCATGGCTTTACAGTTCTTGAGAAGAAGATTTATAAAGATTATATATATATATATATATATATATATATATATACATATATAACTTTCATTGGCCATAGTGGTCACACCCTAACCTGGGAGTCATGATTTGAACAGATTTGAATCTACATTATCTTTGGAAGCTTTCATGTAATTTTCATTTTTTTTCTGGTCCAGTGGTTCTTGAAAAGATTTTTAAATGACCTCACCCAATTTTTACTTTTTCTTAATTATCTCCCCTTGGAAGAATTTGTGTAACCCTTTATTTGATCAAACTTTAATTTACTTCACCCAGTCACACTCTGTACCAAATTTAATTTAAACTGGTCCAGTGATTGTTGGGAAGGGGAGGAATTTGGAAAAAAAAAGTTATAGATGACGACAGACCATGGACAAATTTTGATCAGAAAAGTTCACTTGAGCCTTTGGCTCAGGTGTCAGAGCTAATAATGGCTGAGTTGTGAATTGCTGTGTTTTGCTTGTACATGTGTGTCTCTGGTCTTAGTCTTTAGTTGTTTTGTAAAACAGGCCCCTTATACCTAAATCTAAACAAGAGATGTTTGTGAAACACTTATCCCCCCCCCCCAGGACATACATTATGCTACAGGGTGCACAAGCCTTTATTATGGGCAGTATACATTATGGGCAGTGTACATGGAAATGAAATTGACCTTTTGAACTTAAAATCAATAGGGGTCATCTACCAGTACTATCTGAGATGCATCAAAGAGAAATAGTCTTCTACATCACATCTTTGGCAAAAACATGTTTCTCATGATATATCAGTAATTTATTTGTTCAACCTTTGCAGAGATAATGAACAGAAAGCTAAGTCCAAGGGGCATAACTCTGTCAACAATTGTTCGATCGTACCCAAAACAGAACCTGACCTAGATATTCATATGATAAATCTGTATACCAAATTTCATTTCAGTATGTGCAACCTCTGCGAAGAAAATGAACAGAAACTGTTGGTGGACCGACAGACAGACAAATTGACCGACCGACCAAAAGACAGCAGCAAAGCAATATGCTCCCCCTTCTTCAAAGGGGGGCATAATAAATGTACAAACCTTTGAACTTGAAATTGGTAAACTATACCTGTTTAGCTATTTTATGGGTGTCCTATCAAGACTGCCCTCATCTGGAATCAGTTGTTGGTACAAATAAGGTTTTAATCAATATTTGGAGTTGACCTTGACCTAAATGGTGCTTTTCGATCTTCGAATAAGAATAAAACAGTACATGATTAGCAATACAAATAGAAACTTGTATGATTATCATCTTGTTACTTTATCTATGTAAATTAAAAAATTATGAAATTCAATGCAAGTTGTTAACTTCATTACAAACATTATTTGTTATATCTGCTAAGTTCACAATGTGATTTAAAGCCAAGGGCAATGAAAATCAATTCACTATAAGCATCAATTCATTGTAAGCATGTTCACATTAACCGTGTTTTACTGTACTGACCTTTGGACTTGAATCTGGTGCATTAATTCATCATCTTTTATCTAGCAAATCCAATGCACAGAGTGGTTTCTTTCAAGCTGACATCAGTCTTGGCCTTTGATCTTTGACCTTGACATTGGAAAACATAAAATATATCTGTATAAGTAATTCCATTATGTATGATTGCTGGTTTCCTTTTCGTTAAAACAAACAGAAAGTATATAGAGACAATTATAAATTTGAAATGCTTGTAAATGAAGTGTACCACTTTCAGCTGCACATTCCTAATTCTGCAAAATGGTTTTCCATACTCATAGTCCCCAGTCAGCTGAGCATGCGTCAATCTAAAATACTATTAATATTTAATACATTCTTAATATACATGCATTAGTCATATATATATGTGTATCTACAAATAATATAAAAGAATACATGTACATGTATATTTAAATTTTCAAGAAACTATATTTTTTTTCAATACAAGAAGTTACACAAACATTGTTTGCTACTAATTACCTTTTTTTAAATTAATATGAATACATGTATTAAAAGCATCTTTTCATAAAAAGACAAAATTAAAATTCAAGTTTAATGTATTTGCCCAAAATTACAAGAAGTAAAAGAAAACCTACCTATACATATCTATCACCAGTCTTGGCCGGTATGGATCTGCAGTTTAATATGTTGATGGTTCAGTACACACAAATTACTGTTACGTGGTACTAAAAAGAAAAAAAAAAAGTACATAAATGATACGTTTACTTTAAATTGCAAAAATATAATGCAGTAGGTGTTGTAATTTATCTGTATAGAGCAGGATGAAGCCCCCCTTCCAATTTAGCCCCAGAGTTGTATAATTGAATGAAAGTATTAAGCAAATTTCTCTTGAATGTATTGTATAAAAACAACTTGATTCTATATGCTAATGAAATAACATATTTCTTCATGTTCTTAACTGCATAGAAAATTAAAGAGCCATTTATTGTCATCTCCCTCGGGAGATGACACATTAAGTTCGTTATCCGGAAGTGAAGTCCTTGTGTAAGCTGCCATCGATAAGCTGGTGCTCTGGCAAATGTCCTGAAGATGACACGATTTCTAAATATAGAGATGTAAACAAAATTGAGCGTTCTGTAAATGGCACATCTTAAAGTAAATCTACACAGGGTTCATTATGGATAATAGAGGTAGAATCACTTGCGTGGTGGTCTTCAAAATACACATAAACATTGTATCTAGGCTATTGCGTTAAACGATGGTCAGCGCGCGGGAATCAAAATACACAAAACGTATCAGCCAAGGCGTGGATCCAAGATTTACTGACGAAAGAAAACAGTGAAAACATTCACGTTAAATGCATACATATATACAATGGCAAAAACTTAATTCTTATGTGTACGTACTAGTCAATCGATAATTACTGCCGTATATACGTTGTATGTAAAATAAAACAGAACTTATTCAAAAGAAAAAAAAATCGAAGAAAAGAAGTTTTACCTAAAAGCACAATTTAAGCAGAAACATAAATGTCTCTGATTTAAGTAACTCAGTGCTGCAGGCATTGGAATAAAGATCATAAAGAATCATTACGAGTATTTTCTCGAATGTCTGCACTATTCTTTTTTATTATTATTTAAATTTACCCCTGCAGAAAAGTTTTAGGAAAAACACAATTTTCTTTACTTGGCTAAGATTTTTTAAGGATTAATAAGTAAAGCAACTTACCACTATCTTTATGCAATTCTAATTGCGTTTTTTGCTAAAAGGAAAGAGTAAAAAAAAATCACTCCTCGTATTCTTGAAATAAAGCCAAAATTACAAAATGTGTGTCTCATGGAACAGCCTATAAAATCGATGTTGGTATATTGGGGTTCTTTTGATTGTGCAAATGCTTAATTTTAAATGGTAACTTTTCAATTTTATAACTTTTCTATTCATGCTATTTTTCCAGGAGCGTATACATGTACATGTACTTATACATAATATTGAAATTGAAATTGAATTAATATAGCGTCAAAACATCAATCGGCATGGAAGGGTATGAGGCAGGAGAGTCTCAATTTTTCCCTTGATATTCCCAGTGGCTCGATGGCCAAGTCACTTCAGAGGATACGATTAAGGAAAATAAGGAAAATCTTTGGAAATTAATTGAGGTTCGGATTACATTAAGTTAGCGCTTTAAAATTTCTTTGCTGCCGTACAAGGCGACTAAGAATTAAAGTCAAAGGGAAGGCTAAGGTTTTATATCCATCTTCATATGGAAAAATTCTTATCTCATTTTTAAGAATATTTCTCAGTGGTTAGATTTTTACAGACATTGTACAAACAATATTTAAAATGAATAAAGCATATTTACAACAGGTAAAATAATACAGGCCCCTTCCACTTTTTCCCCAATTAAACATTGAAAACATTCATTGAAAGGCGCGCCCTTGCCCCATATTCCATCTTTTGTTACAGTATCGTACGTCAAATCATCCCATGGAAATGTATTATAAAATATGTTTGTTGGAAAATTTGTAACCCCCCCCCCTTCCAAGAAATGAAAATGTTGAGTTTGGACAGCCCCTTTTTCCCCTTGTCAAAGATTGTTCAGATAATTCGTTGATTTTTTCTTTTGTCCCCCCCTTCTTTTTTTTCAAAAGCGATACTACTGCTGAGAAAATGATATAACATTCCACTGTTTATTCTGTGACATTCATGAAGCCAAAGAGATGACATTTCAGGCTTTCTGGAAAGCCAAACTTGTCTTAATTGTATAACAAATGTGTCGATAGACAAATTCGAATTTCCTCGATGAAAACTGCAGAATGTCTTCGATTGTTGGAATGCTGTTCATATGATTTACTCCAAAGAACCATTACGTAAACTACATGTTTAGAACAGCAAACTAAGCTATTCATAAAGATTTATAAGGGAAAAATCACCTGAACTTACCTTACTTGTCAGCTGAGACGAACGGGGAGGTTGGAAACCCAATACACATTTCAGCGGTTTTTCGGTGTTAGGGAAGCGCTTACATATTACCATACTAAAGCGAATCATGACTGCGTTTGGAAGTCACATATCCTGGCGCAATGCAATCTTGACTGTGTTTGAAGAAATACATCCTGACTTGGCCAGGATTGACGCTTGAATAAATCATGACTGCGTTTGGAAGTCATACATCCTGGCGCAATGTTATCCTGACTAGGCCAGGATTGACGCTTGAAGAAATCTTGACTGCGTTTGAAGAAATACATCCTGACTTGGCCAGGATTGACGCTTGAAGAAATCTTGGCTGCGTTTGGAAGTAATATATCCTGGCGCAATGCAATCCTGGTCGACCAAGATAGAATGGGCATATGTTGTCAATCATGACTTGGTCAACATTGAATCATGATGCTTTTTGATGCTTATAGCGAATTGATTTTCATTGCCCTTGGCTTTAAATTACATTGTGAACTTAGCAGATATAACAAATATATGTTTTTAATGAAGTTAACAACTTGCATTGAATTTCATAATTTTTTAATTTACATATATAAAGTAACAAGATGATAATCATACAAGTTTCTATTTGTATTGCTAATCATGTATTGTTTCTTATTATTCGAAGAGATCGAAAAGCACCATTTAGGTCAAGGTCAACTCCAAATATTGGTTAAAACCTTATTTGTACCAACAACTGAATCAAGAAGAGGGCAGTCTGGATAGGACACCCATAAAATAGCTAAACAGGTATAATTTAACAATTTCAAGTTCAAAGGTTTGTACATTTATTATGCCCCCCTTTGAAGAAGGGGGAGTATATTGCTTTGCTGCTGTCTGTCGGTCGGTCGGTCAATCTGTCTGTCTGTCGGTCCACCAACAGTTTCCATTCATTTTCTTCGCAGAGGTTGCACATACTGAAATGAAATTTGGTATACAGATTTATCATATGAATATCTAGGTCAGGTTCTGTTTTGGGTAAGATCGAGCAATTGTTGACAGAGTTATGCCCCTTGGACTTAGCTTTCTGTTCATTATCTCTGCAAAGGTTGAACAAATAAATTACTGATATATCATGAGAAACACGTTTTTGCCAAAGATGTGATGTAGAAGACTATTTCTCTTTGATGCATCTCAGATAGTACCAGTAGATGACCCCTATTGATTTTAAGTTCAAAAGATCAATTTCATTTCAATGTACACTGCCCATAATGTATACTGCCCATAATAAAGGCTTGTGCACCCTGTAGTATAATGTATGTCGGGAGGGGGGGGGGGGGGCATAAGTGTTTCACAAACATCTCTTGTTTCGATTTAGGTATAAAGGGCCTGTTTTACAAAATAACTAAAGACTAAGAAGACATACAAGCAAAACACAGGGATTCACAACTCTCTCTCTATATATATATATATTAGGGATGGCAATTTCTAATCGGTTAACCGGTTACTCGGTCGGAACGATGGTAATCGGTTAGAAAATCTGTAATAGGTTAGTCGGAAAGAAATAAAATTTGTGTCAATTTGAACACAATTTCCTAAAAATTCAATTTAAAAAAACCCACAAAAATATATATGAAAATTTTTAGTATTTTCACCTATCTATTTAAGCTGATTTGAAGATAATTAATCCTCTCCGGATTGACATCGCGGGGATAACTGGTCAGTTTTCGAGATGTTAATTGTTGTTTAAAGACCCCGTCGTTACCCAGTCTGTCCTGTGTTTCTTTAATGATTTTAATTAAATGATCATTGAGTATCGTGAACTGATTATAATGGGTTTTTACCCCTTCTTTCCTGTGAAGTTACCTATCTAATTATATTATTAAAAAACATGATGATCGTAAATTACGCGATAGATCACTTACTTAATTTTAAGTATTGTGACAATGCAGAATGAGCAAACTGGAGATAACAACGGCATTTATTCTATGAATAAATTTTTTGCTCCTTTTACATGCATTATGCACAGACCCAGAAATTTTTTCCAGGGGAGGCACACCTAATAAAAAAGCCTCTCAAACAAATTGACTGTCTAACTATACAAAGTTGATAATTTTGAACACTCCAGGGGAGGAGGGGGTGTTCTAAACTCCCCCTGGATCAATGCATGATTTATGACTTGTATTTTTCATTAATTACTTGTACATATTGTATGAAAGGGTATCAATAGTTAATATATAGGAAGGTGACATACAAGCTGATACAAATATATAAATCCTTCATTTGAAATCAAAATGCTAGTTAGACTAAAGATGATAGATGATTGTTTTTTTTTTTAGGATTGATGTGGAAGCCCGGATGCTTAGCTGTGCCACTGATTTCATTTCCTGTGGATATTGTGTGCTTGGTGCAATGCAATAAGGACATATAAATCATAGAATTCACATGAATAATATGAAAAGAGATTGCTTTGGCAAAACTCATTTTATATATTTTAGAATAACTTTGTCAAAGATCAAGTTTGTTCGGATGGCATTCTGATGCAATAACATATTTTTATGCATAAAATCTTGTTACATGTATTTACTTAAATGGTCAAAGGATCAAGACACTTGATATGGGTTTTAATGAAGCACACTTACTTTGGTATTGTTAAGTTAATTGGAATATTTTCACTTTGTATAATAAGTTGACAATTGTAGATTTCATTCTCAGTCAAGATTGATCTTTATGTTTTACATCCAAACAATAAACTCTTTTGTTTTGGACAAAAAATTTATTTAAATATGAAGACTTTATTCTGAAGACACACTCAAAGAAACAATTATAGATTATTAAGGATAAATAACACAAACTTCTTTTCCAAAATTCAGATATCTTTGCTAAATTAGGTGCCTTTCTCACTTTGGAATTAATATTTGTATAGTTAAACAACTTCATGTTTGGCCAAGGTACATGTACATATATTCAAAGTTTCTGGGGAAATTTTTAAGAGTCTATTTTTACATTCTACTAAGTTAAAATTTATTAATTACATTTCCATTAAAAGAAATATTGAAACAATACCAGTGTTACTTTTCTGTGTGGAAGATAAGAAAATTTGTTTGTGGTATATATCTATGAATGTCAGTTGCTCAAACTCAAAAGGTTTAGATTATAAAAATGAAAATAATGTGGGGCCTTGTATGTCTGTCCATTTTTTTTAATTACACATGTTTAAGGCCATCTAATATATGTGATTCATATCTGGTCAGTGTTTGAAAATTTATTGGGGGAATGAATGAGCATAAACATTTTTGATCACATTTGTGAGTTTCATGCTTCCTGGGTTAGATGTTCTGATGTAAGGGTGGGGTTCTATAATATAGTGAAAATGCATTAATTATATTAAATAGTCCCCTCTGCTTCTTAGTGTTGAGCACAAAGGCTCAAAGAGCTAATGCTATTCCCCCACTACTTTTTTCCAACCATAGATTTTTGAATACTATTGAAAATGTTCATTGAAAGGCTGGTTGCCCCCCCCCCTTTTTATTAGAGTAAAGTCAAAAAAGGGTAACATAGTAGTTTAAGAATAAGATTTGGTACTGAAAGAAGTTTGAAACCTAACACCCCCACCCCCACCCCGACCCCCTTCAAACCCAAACCGGATTTTCGAGTTTGGACAATTTCCTTTTTTTTTTTGCTTACCAGGAAAGTTGATTTTTTTTATCTGGGCTGCCCCCCCCCCCCCCACTTTCAAAAACGATGCTACGTCACTGTTCCTATCCGAGAAAAGACACAAACCAAAAGGGGAAAAACATTTTGAGAACAGTTCTAGAATTTCTTATTATCATTTGGGACCTCTCCTCGCAATAAAACTAAGTTTTAAACTTCTAGTTTATTGAAATAAAAAATTAATTATAATATACCACTTAAAAAAGAGAGTTGTCAATCCAAAAAGAGTAAAATGCATCTCAGAGATTCGTATTTGTTGATTTTAATTTGAGTTAACTTGTGTTTGCGTTTCAAAGCTTTGTATTTGTCAGTTTTAATTTGCGTTTGTTTTTAATTTCATAATCTCAGAAACCAATCCGACCGCATATACGCTGAACATAGACAAAAAAAATCTTGAAACGGCCTATCATAACGCGCGTTACAGACTTTGAAAATTTTTGCTTCAAATTAAAACCGTGAATCTCCGAAGCCTTTTAAAAAAGGGGTATGCGATTTGTTTAGATCCATTTGTCGACGAACAAAATATTTTCTTGGCCAATGCTAATAATTTATTTTTTTTTTAGAGACAAACACGCTTTTTGCATGTACATACTCATTATTTTATTAACAAACTCGAAAATTACATGTTTAAATCTGCGTAGTGAATTCGACAGGAAATGCACATGAATTCTCGGGAGGGGATTTAAATTCAGGAGGGATTCAGAATGCTCTAGTACACTCTAACGGGCATAATTCCCTAAAACTAAAATTTATAAAAGTAAGGATATAGTATGTGTGTATGATTTACATATAGAGTTTATCCACGTCGGCTATGAAAATCTCCGCGTGTCGTCTTCAAAGCAGGCCCTTAGGAAGCAATTTAAGTTTGGGGGGCACAGCCATACATTTTTCAGTTGACAGTGGGCACTACCAAAAATGTCCTGACAAGCAAAAAAAAAAAAAAAGGTCATCAGACGTTTTTATTAAGGGGACAAAAGCATAAAGTATCAATGTTTTCTATAGTAATCTATATATCGGCAAAATTATTGGGGGGGGGGGCACGGCCCTCCGTGCCCCCCCCCCCCGGTTCCTACGACCATGCAAAGCAATGTAGCATGAAGCGGCAGACACTTGCATTGATATCGATCAGTAAAAGATCGATCAACGGTCACAGTCGAATGGAAATTTTTTTATTGGTCCTCATTAAAGTACATGTATAACTTGATTATCAGTACCCCCCTCCCCCCCCCCCATACACACACACACATTTCTATTTAAATGGAGACAAAATACAAATAATCGAAATGCTGAATAACAGAACACACATAAAAGAATCAAAATTCTCTTTCACGTTCCTTTTGATATGCTACATAGAGATTTTATTTCTAGTTCAGTTACATGTATCAAATTATACGAAGTCTGATGTTATTTTGTTACTTGTCAGTTGTGGGAACAATAAGTAAAACACGTCACAGTGTTTATAAAGAGTTATCCTTGTCATTCCTGGATTGTATCGCCTGATTATGTTTCTTTTTCATGTTAGTGTCTGATAAAAAAAAAATCTTTAAAAATATATCTAACAAACTGCTGACATGTATTATATGACTACACATCAACTAAGACAAAAACTGCTTTAAAATAGATAATGATTTTGCTTTAGAACTCCTCCTGATGTTTACATGTTACACAACCATAGGTAGGATATTTGATATATTTCAGTGACAATGATAATGTTATCACTTCCTTCGGATACATTAACTCTCTGGGGCATTTCCTCCACAAATCTTTACATTTGTCCTTCGTTGTAGTAACGATAAATTACTTTAAATATTTTTTTCCGGAACGGATTATCATCATAGAAATCTTTAAAATTCAGAGATAATGTGCACCATTTTCACAAAGGTGATACTGGGCAGGACAACCCCCCCCCCCCCGCCCTTAATTCTCCAGCCCCGATGAACGTTCCATTGGAATACTGAACATATTTCCTATGACATACTTAATGTATTATTTCATGGATAATCTGGATAAAATCCTTTTAAAAATTCTCGCTTACTTCAAGATTATCAACATATACTAGTAGTGTAGTTAATATGTACATTCGTTTTTTATACAGGTACATGTACATATCTATAGAATAATCTTTTTTTTTTTTTCATTTTTCATTTCAAGACTTGAAATGCCTTAAAAAATGCATTAGAAAAATAATTTCTGAAAAAAAAATCGAGTTAAATCATCGATTATGGAGCGGAAAGGGGGGGGGGTGTCTTGTTCACAAGTAGTAAATGATCGTGTTTGTATTTCTTCCAGAACTTGGAACAGATAATCTTTATCTATAGACAATAAACAAGGTTGATTGTATCATGCCACTTAAATTTTCGTAGAAAATGCCGAAAACGTACACACGGTCTAGATTTATAAGCCTTATAAACTTAGTTTGTCAACATAATTAATTTTTCCTTATCTGTTATTCCTTGTAAATTATAAATTAAACTCGATTTTACTTAAAAACACTGATGTCAATATTCCGATCAGCATGATAAATGTATGTATAAGATTAATGTATATATATAATTAATAAGTGTAAATAAGAACTTTTCCATTCCCAGCTGCAGACCTCCAATAAGTAAATGTAGGTCGGCAGTGGAAGATTTAGAAGTGTTTAGTCATATATGAAGCACTTCCTGATTATGCGATAAAACACTAGAATCCTTTCTGACATAATTACTTTTGTCAGATAAAAATCTGCAACAATACAGTGACAAGGATAATGACTTTGAAAAAATGTTCAAATGGTGACTTCTACTAGTATACGCCAAGCTTCCCTCCTACCCCCCCCCCTCCCCCCTTTACTTACATATATTATCTTTTGATATTTATGAATTCCACACATATATAAATTGAAAACGAATAAAATATACTTAAGAAAGCTGATGATTTTCAATAAAAATGTTTAAAAAAAAACACCTTTTCTTGAACAGTCAAATAAAGTCAATGTCTACTCTGAAGGAGACGCGCGTTTAATTGGAGGTACATCTATACATGTAATTAAATGTAACTTAATCGTCTGAACCAGCCCAACTTATGTCGTTATTACTTTTTTACGCTGTAAATATTGATTGAATATTTATCACAGTTGCAAAGACGGAAGAATTTGTTTCAAGTACATATTTTCAACATGATTGCTCTTTGTGACGCCATTTTTTCAATGCATGGCGTCATTAATTACATATTATGTCCCATTATAAATTTCACTGAGGAAGGTTTATATGGTTTTCATTTGCATAAATAGTATTAAATTATTTTTCAAATGCAAAATTGAATTTAAAAGACAATAAAAAGAATAATGAAACCTTCAGATACAGAATTAAACAATTTATTTCTTTAAAAGTATAGATTTATTGTGGAGAAAAGTGACGTCTATCCAAAAATGCATTTTCAACTTCAATTTTTTGTAAAAACGGGTGTGGCCGCACTTCTGTGAGGTCATTTTTTTCTTTTTAATATTAGAAATCGGGTTATATTTATTCTTTCTGTGAAGTTTCGCATACATAATCTGATGCGGCCATATCGAAATATAGACTTGAAGAGGAGGAAAATGTCCAAAATAAGGGAATTCCGGAAAATAAGACCGGTTTTAAACATTATATAAATGAAAGGGCGCTTGAGTTGAGAAAAATTGTTAACTATTTCACACACAGGGAAACCTCAACAGTAACTTGATACATTTGATAAAATGTAAACCTGCGTTTAATTTTTGCCGATATTACAGGGCCGATTATTGGGCTTACCGTACCCAGTTCTTTGTCACAGAGTATCCTTCGTCAAAGGGCTCTCTTTTACACTAAAACAAGGGATGTAACCCTTAAACAAGGGGTGATAACTAGGAAAATAAAACCAAAAGTACTGGTTCCTAAAAATTTTTCTCAAGAACCATAGGGCAGATTATCGCCAAATTTACATACAAGGATGAGGATATTTTGTAGATTAAA